GACTTACAGAACATGTCGGGCAATACTCACAGATATCACAATAATGTCATATATATCTAATGAACAAATCCACAAGGAGCTTTGATGAGGGGGGGGGGTTCGAACCTGTGCGATGATGAGTGTTCCCAGACGCGCCTCAGTCGACCGTACCACCACATGGTAATGTGGTTTTTGTTGGCAAGCAATTGTCTCCCAACCTCGGACGTCGCGCTCAATATCTCTTGCAGACCTGGAATCCCTTTTTTGGGGGGTTTCTGGCAAACTTCCGTGAGTTCCTTTTTTCCATTAGAATATTCCTTTGTGCCCCATTATTACATAATGTCTTACTGCTGGTTTTCTCCATTGAGGAGAAAACTTTTGCAGTCAAGTTGTTTTAGAACTTGTTGCAGTTCTGAGTCTGATGCATCTGTTTGCTTACGCTCTTCAGTGTATATCTGTGGTCCTCTGGTGTCGCGTTTTCGCATCATTTTTATCGTCCCTCAATTGAAGGACATGGAAATATCTCTGGAAACATGATTTTCCATCTTTTCCATATGTTATGTCTTCCTTGTATTGTGTTTACTAGTTGTGTTTTTGCGGGGGTTGAGCTTTGCTCTTTCGGCCCGCCTCTCAACTGTCAATCAACTGTTTACTAACTACTTTTTTTTCTTTTTTTTTCCCACACCACACACACACACACACACACCCCAGGAAGCAGCCCGTGACAGCTGACTAACTCCCAGGTACCTATTTACTGCTAGGTAACAGGGGCACTTAGGGTGAAAGAAACTTTTGCCCATTTGTTTCTGCCTCGTGCGGGAATCGAACCCGCGCCACAGAATTACGAGTCTGCGCGCTATCCACCAGGCTACGAGGCCCCTGTATTGTCTGTTACACTAAGTGTTCACTTCATCTTGGCTTCCCACTACCTTCTTGAGTGTGGGGGGATTGGTTCGGGAGGTTGAACACCATCAACTTTCTCACCTTGCGTGTCGTAAAGGCGGAGCCTCAGTCTCTTGTAGTCTCCCATCGCGTCTCAAGTCTCTCGTCTCCGTCTGACTTCCTCCTTCAGCTCTACACCGTACTCGAGCTCAGTAAAGCTGGTTTCGAGGGGCAGCTCATTCTCGGGCATCGACATGTGCTTCGTTTCGAGGACTCGTCTGGTTGTTGGTGTGGAAAGTGTTCGTTTTTGTTCGTTTAGTCATATATCGCCTCAGGTGGGTGTGTGGGTGTGTTTGTGTGTGTGGGTGGGTGTGTGCGTGTGGGTGTGTGTGTGTGGGTGTGTGTGCATGAGTGTTTCCTGTGTATGTGTGTGTGTGGATGTTTGTTGTGTGGGTGGGCATTTATTTTGTTTCTGCGTATGTGGGTTTTCGTTTTGTGTACTCACCTAGTTGTGCATGCGGGGGTTGAGCTCTGGCTCTTTGGTCCTGCCTCTCAACTGTCAATCAACTAATGTACAGATTTCTGATCCTACTGGGCTCTATCATATCTACACTTAAAACTGTGTATGGAGTCAGCCTCCACCACATCACTGCCTAATGCATTCCATTTACTAACTACTCTGACACTGAAAAAGTTCTTTCTATTGTCTCTGTGGCTCATTTGGGTATTCAACTTCCACCTGTGTCCCCTTGTTCGTGTACCACCCGTGTTAAATAATCCATCCATGTCTACCCTTGTCAATTCCCCTGAGAATTTTGTATGTGGTGATCATGTCTCCTCGAGCTCTTCTGTCTTCCAGCAACGCGAGGAGAATTTCACACAGCCTTTCCTCATAACTCATGCCGCTAGTTCTGGGACTAGCCTAGTGGCATACCTCTGAACTTTTTCCAGCTTCATCTTGTGCTTGACAAGGTACGGCTCCATGCTGAGGCTGCATACTCCAGGATTGGTCTTACATATGTGGTATGTGTGTTTGTGTGAGTGTGTGAGTGGCCAGGTTGACCCCCAAGTCATCCAGCTTTACATTTAACAGCACTGTACGTTTTGTTTAAAATTGTCATCGCGTCAATGTTGTTTTTTGCTTAAAATTGACCCTCACAACACAATATTTTAGCAGAGTATAATATTTATGCATATTATACACCATACATATAATGTATACATAATAATTCACGGGTGTGAGGAGGAAAGTCGAAACATGTGTTATCAACCTGACCAACATACCACAAAGGCGACCATTGAGTGCTTGCATACCCCCGTCTCCTACAGGGCCCCGCCTGGTGCTGTGGTGAATGAGGTGTTACCCTCGTGCGAACACCCGTTTATATGACGTGTGAGGCAAGAGAAGTGAGGCTGTGCCTACCTGAGTGGCCGCGTGGCCAGGCTGATAACGGTGCGGAGGGATGGCAGCTACCTATCGCCTGCCTTCCTGGTTCTGGCGGCGCCACTGACTCAGTCGTGGTCGTGAGGGGCGTCGCTGTGGTTTTATCACTGGTGATGCACTGGTTATTTTCTCGTGTTATAATGAATTAATCAGCGAATGATAGTAATTGGCAGGTTAAACGATAATAGGAGATTGGGCATAGCCGAAGCACTACATGTCAAGTACTCTCGTTTAATAATATACTGCCAGCCACCGTACATGCTGCCTTATACAACCAGTGAAAATGCAATATTACAGTGACTAACACATCACTGCTCATCATCCTTCATGTGATATATACTGTTAGCTCTAGCAGCCTCTATGCACTTTCTCTCTGCCTCTAAGGATGTCGAAGAGAGCTTCAGCGAAACGCATTCTTTATTAGCACCAACCATCAAGCCAAAGATAAATTCACTTGGAGAGAGGAGGGAATTATCAAGGGAAAGCACCGAGCTATTATGACTGTATAGCACTGGGAAGGAGTCAGGATAAAGATTTGGGATGGGACGGGGGAAAGGAATGACGCCCAACCACTTGGACGATCGAGGATTGAACTGCGACCAGCATGAAGCGAGACCGTAGCTCTCCCGTCCAGCCCAAGTGGTTGGAGAAATTCACTTGGAGAGTAAATTTTTCAATTTCCTTACCAAGTGAAGATTGACATAAGAAATATAGAGATGATTTGTGCTAAGATGCATCATATATTATTTAATATTTCTGATTTACAAGACACAATGGAAATCGTCTCCAGAATTTCTTTGGCATCGATTCTCGGAGCATCTTGATTACCTCTCATTATGAGAGTGGACCCTACAGTCTCTCAAGGTGAAACAATTACCTGAAGCATTTACAGAAACTTGTTCAGTCGACCGAAGAATGTGTTTGTGGTCACTAGTTGTTTTACTCTTGTGTTTGTTTGTGTGTGATGTGTTTGTGATATGACCCCTAGTTGTTTGTGTTCTCCAGTAGTTTGTGATATGACCCCTAGTTGTTTGTGTTCTCCAGTAGTTTGTGATATGACCCCTAGTTGTTTGTGTTCTCCAGTAGTTTGTGATATGACCCCTAGTTGTTTGTGTTGTCCAATAGTTTGTGATATGACCCCTAGTTGTTTGTGTTCTCCAGTAGTTTGTGATATGACCCCTAGTTGTTTGTGTTCTCCAGTAGTTTGTGATATGACCCCTAGTTGTTTGTGTTGTCCAATAGTTTGTGATATGACCCCTAGTTGTTTGTGCTCTCCAGTAGTTTGTGATATGACCCCTAGTTGTTTGTGTTCTCCAGTAGTTTGTGATATGACCCCTAGTTGTTTGTGTTGTCCAATAGTTTGTGATATGACCCCTAGTTGTTTGTGTTGTCCAATAGTTTGTGATATGACCCCTAGTTGTTTGTGATATGACCCCTAGTTGTTTGTGTTCTCCAGTAGTTTGGGATATGACCTCTAGTTGTTTGTGTTCTCCAGTAGTTTGGGATATGACCCCTAGTTGTTTGTGTTGTCCAATAGTTTGTGATATGACCCCTAGTTGTTTGTGTTGTCCAATAGTTTGTGATAGGCCTCCTTTGTTTACATTGTACAGCTGTTTGCAACAGGTGGAGCTGCTCCATATAGTTACTCCAAACCTTTCTGTTTATGAGACTAGATGAAGCTTTACATGACTCGTCTCGGTCAAGAGAATGTTACGTGAATAATCTTGATGAGTTGAATGTCTCAGGATGATGCTGGTGATGATGGTCCTGTTCACGTCTGATACATACTCATCATACATTGTATTCATTCATCGCATACTGTGTATGTATACAATCTACGGTTCCCCAAGATAAGCACAACTTGGTGAATGCAGCTACTTTGTACACTGTACACTTTGAGACAGTGTACAGTGTTGTACAGTGTGAATATTTTGCAATATATGTTCAGTATATTGGGCTAATATTTTCTTATGTGGCTTCCCCCGATGTTAAGAGTTTGTGAACAAACCTGATGGGTTTCACGAACACCGGAACCTTAAGAGACCCACCGGCATCTTAAGCTTAAGAGGCCCACCGGCATCTTAAGCTTAAGAGGTCCACCGGCATCTTAAGCTTAAGAGACCCACCGGCATCTTAAATTTAAGAGGTTGGTCTCAATAATTCTTCAGTCTCTGAGTTTTCGTTCCTCAATATTTGTCACCGCTTCCCGCCCCTTCACCACCCACGCCTCACCACCCACGCCTCACCACCCACGCCTCACCACCCACGCCTCACCACCAACGCCTCACCGCTCAGTGCTCCCGGATGTTGCGTGTTCCGGAGCGCGGACGGATATGGAAGTAGCTCCTCAGATCAGCCAAGCCCAACCACTTCCACGCTCCATGACGGCGGTGCAGGCGACGTGCACCTGCCCCTGGGGGAGGAGGAGGAGGAGGTGCACCTGGGGGAGGAGGAGGAGGAGGTGCACCTGGGGGAGGAGGTGCTCCTGCCCCTGGAGGAGGAGGAGGAGGTGCATCTGCCCCTGGGGGAGGAGGAGGTGCTCCTGCCCCTGGGGGAGCAGCAGGAGGTGCATGTGGTCTATGGCAACATAGACCTCACTAGGTCTGATAGTGAGGTTGGCCCCAGTAGTGAGAGACATGCGTTAAAGAGACATGCGTTACAGAGACATGCGTTACAGAGACATGCGTATACTGACCATGCGTTGCTTGGTATCTCCACAGATGTAAAGTCTGAGGAACAGCGGCTCTCCGGCGCTGAGGCTCACTTTAAGTTCCTTGGAAAAGAGCTGAAGAAAGTTTACCCTTATTTACAGCGTTCACAATATATGTGGACCATAAAATTCTGTGTGTGGCGGGGGGGGGGGGTGTACTCACTTAGGTGTACTTGCGGGGGTTGAGCGCTGGCTCTTTAGTCCCGTCTCTCAACCGGCAATCAACTGATGTACATATATATACAGGTGTATAGATGTGTGGGTGTGTGTGTGTGTGTGTGTGTGTGTGTGTGTGTGTGTGTGTGTCGATGATTAGTTTGTTTTGTTAATCTTCATTTCCATTTCTAAAACGATGGTAGTCTATTCTGATGTCGTTATCGCCTTATAAGCTAACAATCCCAGCAAATTTTTCGCATTGAAAAATAATATGAAAACAACATATTTGATAAAACCAAATATTTATAAGAAAACAAATCTTATCTCTATGCAAATTAAGAACAGTACTTTTGTGTTTTTGCTATACACACCGTCACAAAATAGCTAGACAAAAGCAAAGTAGGACTAAATATACTCATACTGTTTGTTTTGTACAGTGGCTTGTAATTTGATTTGAATAAAATGGTGATATTTGTATAACACGCAAGGCCTGTTGTTTGCTAAGTGCGGGATCATTCACTCGCAGGCAGAGTGAACGGGTAGTGATGAATAATCTCTCCTGGTGGAGGCATTGCAAGAGAATTTGCATGTTTTAATTGCATGTTGCAATTTTTTCATGTCTGGTTTTCTTCTGTGGTTTCTCTTTGAACTGTTCGCTATACACCTGAGGAGACGCTTCTGCGTCATACACCACTCAGTATACACCTGAGTAGAGTGTGGCTTCAGCGTCATACACTCAGCATATACCTGAGGAGAGTTTGGCTTCTGTTTCATACACTCAGTATATATCTAGGAGAGTGTGGCTCCTGCGTCATACACTCAATATACACCTGTGGAGAGTGTGGCTCCTGCGTCATACACTCAGTATACACCGGAGGAAGGTGTGGCTCCTGCGTCATACACTCACTATACACCGGAGGAAGGTGTGGCTCCTGCTTCATACTCTCACTATACACCACAAGGGAACTTGTGGTGTATAGAACTTCATACTCTCACTATACACCACCACTATACAGGAAGGGATCTGTAAGAAGCTCCGCCCACTTTACACAACCCGTCCTCATCAACAAGAGCCAAATTCTCGCTAATACAGCCGCCAAACTCTTTCTTTGTTCGTGAAGGACAAACGATTTGCACTCGACTCACAACTGATGTTCGATCGTGTCTCGAATAGTGCTGACGCAGCCCCCTTTCTTCGGGCTCACCATAGGCCGTGCTACTTGGAACTTTTTTTTTCCAGGTAGAGAATCTTTAACAACAATGACAGCAGCCGCCTTAGGACAATGATGCAACCCACAACAGTCAACTAGTTCCTTCTTGGACAATGACTGAAAATCCACATGGTTCAAAAACACAGGGGATGGGAACTATGAGGAGAAAGCGCCAAGCCATTATGACTATATAGCACTTAGAAGGGATCAGGATAAGGATTTGGGATGGGACAGGAAAGGGGAGGGGGAGGGGAGGGTAAGATTCAAACCACACTACATTTGTCTAACTCCCACGACACTCCCAGGGAATCGAACTCTGGTCAAACCGGTTGAGAGCCAATTGTGCTAAACAGTGAAATTCAGTGATGTGTTCAAAATCTTATTCTTAATTCTGACAAATAATAGAATGATTTTGCTGTTGTGAATTTTTATGTAAGGAACTTTGACAAAATATTCTCAACTGTAATGGAGTAATTGGAAATGCTATCATCGACCTCGCTAAGCTTGCACGCAAGTTTAAGCTGTAACATGTTGTGGAATATCTCTAGCTACAATAACAGTTTTACTCAAACGTGTGAATGTGTTGTGAAGTTTTTGAGACGACCTCAAAGTGTATGTGGTGTGTGTACTCACCTATTTGTACTCACCTATTTGTGCTTGCGGGGGTTGAGCTTTGGCTCTTTGGTCCCGCCTCTCAACTGTCAATCAACTGGTGTACAGGTTCCTGAGCCTACTGGGCTCTATCATATCTACATTTGAAACTGTGTATGGAGTCAGCCTCCACCACATCACTGCCTGTGTGTGTGTGTGTGGGTGGGTGTGTGTGTGTGTGTGTGTGTGTGTGTGTGGGGGTGTGTGTGTGTGTGTGTGTGTGTGTGTGTGTGTGTGTGTGTGTGTGTGTGTGTGTGTGTGTGTGTGTAAACTAATTATTCCCCTGCATGCAAAAATAACAAGCATAATATTATTCCAAAAGTCTATCCAACAAATTCAATCACAAACTAGGCAAGAGCACAACAAGGGGTAACGGCAGCCAGCGGCAACCCGTGTTGGGGGCGGCCACTTTGGTTGTCAGTTGGTGTTGCGCACCAACTGGACAGGATTGGATTCAAGACTGGATTGCGCAGCTGGCCGCAGGGGCCAGCCAGCTGGGACCGTCAGCTGGTTATAAGTTAGACCACGCGCCGCCCCAGGGAATGTCTCCTGCACCTCCAGGAGACGAGAGGCGGAATGGTGTCGTGTTCATGACCTTCGACCTGGTCATTACTCATCCTAAACAATGTCGGTGTCTTTTTCACCGTCTCCAATCATGTTCGTCTTTACTATCCATAAATACAATAGTGTCTTCACAGTCTCCAACCATGTCTTTACTATCCACAAATACAATAGTGTCTTCACCGTCTCCAACCATGTCTTTACTATCCACAAATACAATAGTTTCTTCACCGTCTCCAACCATGTCTTTACTATCCACAAATACAATAGTGTCTTCACCGTCTCCAAACATGTCTTTACTATCCACAAATACAATAGTGTCTTCACCGTCTCCAAACATGTCTTTACTATCCACAAATACAATAGTGTCTTCACCGTCTCCAAACATGTCTTTACTATCCACAAATACAATAGTGTCTTCACAGTCTCCAACCATGCCACTACTTTTCCTAGAATTTCGTCTCCTGTTGATTCTCTCTCACACTTTTCATTATTTTTCTTCAACTGCCCATCTTCAAACTTCCTTAAACCTAATCACAAACACTTAGACTTTTCTCCACCACACACCTGCCTCTCTTCACAACACACACCTGTCACATCTGCTTCACATAACTCTCGTTAAAACTTGGAGAGTTAATTTGATATGGTCTGTTACATGTACTGATACTTTAATATTATCCATCAATATCTGTCTTAAGGAATTGAGCTCCGTCCGTAGCGGTATTCAAAAATTTCTCGATCAGTCCAGCCACACTCAATATATAAAGCGATTTAATTCGATCTGAAAGTCACAGCCGTTCTATTCTCTTGAGAATCCAACCCTTCACTAACAGGTTTCCCGTCCAACCCATCCTCAGGTTGATAAATACTTGAAAAAAGGCTAAATTATCCATTCAAAACGCATATAAATATGTCGATATGATAGGGCTTATAGCGGTGTGTCTTACAGAGAACAACCCCCATCGTATCACTTGGGGAGGTATGTGTTCCCCGCTGGACGACTCCAGCGGCTACATGGTGGCAGTCGCGTCCATCACTGGCGGGAAACACACCATGTATTATTTTCTGCTGTAAGGTGAACCACACACGCCTCCCACCACCACACCACAACCACACACGCCTCCCACCACCACCACAACCACACACGCCTTCTGCCACCACACCACAACCACACACGCCTCCTGCCACCCCCACCACAACCACACACGCCTCCTGCCACCACACCACAACCACACACGCCTCCTGTCACCACACCACAACCACACACGCCTTCTGCCACCACACCACAACCACACACGCCTCCTGTCACCACACCACAACCACACACGCCTTCTGCCACCACACCACAACCACACACGCCTCCTGTCACCACACCACAACCACACACGCCTTCTGCCACCACACCACAACCACACACGCCTTCTGCCACCACACCACAACCACACACGCCTCCTGTCACCCATCCCAGCACCACAATCTCATACGTCACTCAGACTGTTGCCTTCTTCGCCGACCTGCTTCCCTATGAGATTGAATACGACCCTCGGCTCGTCAGAGCTGAGGTACGACCTTGGCTCGTCAGAGCTGAGGTACGACCTCGGCTCGTCAGAGCTGAGGTACGACCTTGGGTTGTCACAGCTGTGGTACGACCTTGGCTCGTCACAGCTGTGGTACGACCTTGGATCGTCAGATGTGGTACGACCTAGACGATGAAATATGGTGATATACACCGCGCACTCAGTCAGTGGTGCGCTCTCATACACACATACAAGTTGAGCTCCAGTCATCAATACTGTCATGTGTGACGGGCGGTAAGTTAAGTTAGTCAGTGACTCTTCGTTGATGAGGGCATCAATGTTATTGATGAGTCAGCGAGGCGCTCATCTCCAGATTTATGGTGGAGTGAAGTGTGTGTGTGTGTGTGTGTGTGTGTGTGTGTGTGTGTGTGTGTGTGTGTGTGTGTGTGTGTGTGTGTGTCTGACTTGCCCCGTCAGAATTAATTCCAGCTGTCGGCCCCGTTGACGGAGAGTACGAATTCACGCTGCAAATGTTGGTGTTGAAGCGGCAGTTGCTGGTGCATTATTGCTCTGGTTGTCTGGTAGGCTGACCCCGGGCACCGCCGGCCTCTTGCCCACCTGCACCTCACGATTTAACTCGTTTATCTGCGTCCAACGCTCTCTTGGCCTTCGACAAGCTTTCACGCTATATATATATATATATATATATATATATATATATATATATATATATATATATATATATATATATATATATATAACTGAGAACTCACACCCCAGAAGTGACTCGAACCCATACTGCCAGGAGCACTATGCAACTGGTGTACAGGACACCTTAACCACTCGACCATCACAACTGGATAAAAGATGATGGTAGGAAATAGGAAAGCCTATTTCCCCATCATCCCGCCGGCACTCGGATGGTAATCTTGGGCATAGTATTTTATCAAATCACCAGATTTATCTATGGCTTGGTTGGTAAGACAACAGACCCGTACCTTTGAGGCACCAGTTCGAAACACCGATAATCCAAGAAATTTCGGAACATATAAGTTTATATGTTTATTTCTGGGCATATAGGACATATTTCTGTCGGGAGGGTTGGCAGTGTGTTAGTCTTTACCACCTTTATTTTCCCCCATAGGAATAATAAAGGAGGTAAAGACTCAAGGAATATATCGGGAGGCAAAGACTCAGGGAATAATAGGAGCCGCGAAGACTCCGGAAACATTAAGGGAGGAGGAAAAGAAGGAACTCTTGGAGGAGCTTCAATACCTTATGAGACAGCAACACACACGCTCCGTGTCGGAGTGGGCGTCGTTGGTGTGATAATGTTAGTTTCTCTGTGTGCACTGAGACATGCTTTGATGTTAACGATATATATACTCAATTTTCATAGGGCTGCTTGCATAGCCTGGCAACTCTGGCTTGCAATCCCCAGAGGTAGTGAATTGCATAGTTCAGTAACACTGGAGGGGGAGGGAGGGGAATGACTCTCTGTCCTCTGATGCTACAGAAAAAAAGGGGATTGGAACCCTTGGTGTATAGAGTCGATTTTCTAAGCCATATCTTTTATCACAAGAACAGTTCGCTCCTGTCAATGGCTGAGTCTGGTCTTGTGTTATTTAACCATTTAACTGCGTACTTTAAACAAACTAATTACTCTCAAACTATTTACTCTAAACAAACAGTTTAAACTGAATGTTGTGTTTTCTGTTCTCGTGTTCATGTTGCTGAACCCTTTATGTGGTTGTTGTCTTAGTACACTAGCTCACATGATGGGTATGTGGTCCACCACCGCTCACAGGATGGGTATGTGGTCCACCACCGCTCACAGGATGAGCATGTAGTCTACTCCCGCTCACAGGATGGGTATATGGTCCACCACCGCTCACAGGATGGGTATGGGGGTCCACCACCACTCACAGGATGGGTATGTGGTCCACCACCACTCACAGGATAGGTATGTGATCCACCACCACTCACAGGATGAGTATGTAGTCTACTCCCACTCACAGGATGGGAAAATGCTCCGTAATGAACTGATTCAATTTAAAATCTCTGAAATAACTCAATGAAAGGAACCTTTCTTAGAATTCGAATCTATTAAAAACAATTCTCTGGCCCTAAGTGCTCTCTCTCTCCAGGCGTTGCAGCCGACGAAATCCCGCGGGAAATCTCTATTTTAATTAAAATGGGTGACCTGCATTATGCAAATTACTTGGTAATTGTGGTATTTGTTATATGAGTGAGTAATGCATATTACTCGCAGGATTATAGAGTAATATACTATACGGATATAGGATCATAGAGTAATATCCATTACTCGCATGATCGTAGTGTCTGTTGCTCATAGGATTATGGAACGATATTCGTACAACTTCTTAGTATCACAGTCACCCCCTTCACTGTAAACTGTGTTCCAGGGGCGTAATATTATGCTGGACTATGGTACAACTGTAATCCTGTGATACAATATTACTCAGGACTCTGATTACGCCAATTTCCCGTTGTAATGTAAAACTAGTCCAATTTCATTCCCAGTCACAGACTGTTGAATACACAATGGGTGCACAGTCTGTTTGGGGCACAGTTAGTCTTGTTGGGGGCACAGTGGTGTGAGTAATTACGGGGCAGAGACTTTTGTATTGACTGTTGATAGGAGAGGTAGAGAAAGCTCAGTTCACAGTCGGCAGTGAGGGACACAGACAACACAGTACACAGTCAGTAGTGAGAGAGACACAGACAACACAGTTCACAGTCAGCAGTGAGAGACACACAGATAACACAGTAAATGATTATTACCAAATATACATTCTGAACAATGTATTCAAATTCCTGTGAAGGTTATATTTGCGAGGATCTCTGAGAGTTATGGCTGGAGAGTGCTTGTGGTTAGTGTGGAGAGTTTGGTCATGTTCCCTGATGTGAGGGAGGGAGGGGAGAGTCCTTGTGACGCAAGAGTGAGTCAGCGTGACGCAAGAGGGAGTCGGTATGATGAGAGAGAGAGACACTTGGACGCAAAATTTAGTCAGTCAGCGTGGTGGAGGAGAGAGTCAACGGTAGCAAGAGAGTCAGTGTAACCCAAATGTGAGTCAGCGTGACGCAACAGAGTGTTAGTGATGCAGGAGTGAATCAAAATGATGCAAGACTGCATCATCGTGAAGCAGTAGAGAGTCAACTTGAAGCAAGAGAGAACCAGAAGTAAAACATGGTTGAGTCAGTGTGAAGCAAAAATGCCAACTTTAACCAAGAAGTGCAGCGTGACGCAAGATTGTCACAGCGTGAAGCAAGAATTAGTAAATGTATACCACGAGAGTGTCGCTCGACCACAAGCAAGATGGAGTCGGTGTATTTAGGTATATAAAGTGTAATCATACATGAAGAGTCAGTTACATTGAATATTTGAAGCTGGGATTTGTTTCAAGTGGGATTTATACTCAGGAAAAGTTTCTGTAAGACTCTATTTGATGTCGCAAAAGTCCAGCGACTTTGTGAATACACAAAGCTTTAGCGCTTAAGTCCAGCGACTTTGTTTACCTATGTTTATTGCCTTTTTGGGTTGATTCTCTGACATATTTAATGTTGTTCGTTTTTGTCTGCCTGTCTCTCTCTCTCTCTCTCTCTCTCTCTCTCTCTCTCTCTCCTTCTCTCTCTCTCTCTCTCTCTCTCTCTCTCTCTCTCTCTCTCTCTCTCTCTCTCTCTCTCCATCTCTCTCTCTCTATCTCTCTCTCTCTCTCTCTCTCTCTCTCTCTCTCTCTCTCTCTCTTCTCTCTCTCTCTCTCTCTCTCTCTCTCTCTCTACTCTCTCTCTCTCTCTCTCTCTCTCTCTCTCTCTCTCTCTCTCTCTCTCCTCTCTCTCTCTCTCTCTCTCTCTCTCTCTCTCTCTCTCCTCTCTCTCTCCTCTCTTCTCTCTCTCT